ATACCCTACTAAAATAATTTTATTCAATGACCTATACAGTATATAAGAGAGTCCATGTGTATGTGCACTCATGTCCTGCAAATTGTGTCATGTCCAGACTGCAATTCTGCATTGTGCGTTATGCTTCCACAGGACTTTGGGTTGCCACAACATTCACACATGAAATTGGTGGCCATTTGGGTAATGAACGTATATATAATATATATAATAGAATGAAAAGAGATGATAAGGCAATCTCAAATTGTACACTCCCTCTGATTCAGTTTTACAGAAGGCACTGGTGGAAACAATGTATGTTTCTATTAAACCAGACCAAACCTACTGCACAAGATATTAACAGTTATTGGCTTCATTTGTGAAGTACAGTCATTGTCTGGTTTAGTTTTTTCCCTGAAGTTATGGTATGGACAGCATTTCTGTTATATTGTACGATCCTGCTTCTCATGAATTGACCCAAAATCTCTGTAAGGTATTATTCTTAAAATCTATTTCTTCAAATAAAATGTGGTAGATACCATCAGATCTAACTAAACTTTAAATAGCAAGTAGCCGGTAAATCTTTTAAAAATCATCCATTAAAAAAAGGTTTTAAAAAGCTGCTATATGAGATTTACACATAACTCCATTGTTCTAGTTTGTTTTAGGGAAAACAAATCATACTGATCAGATCAAAGTTTACAGGTATTAAAATCCAGTTGGCGAGAGATTCCTCCAACCACTAAAAAAGACTAGTTAATGTTTTACTGCAAATTGTCTGAAGATTCCAAAAACCTGATTGAAAATGTATTATGTGACATGATTTACCTAGACTGGTGGGAGAACCTTGAAGGAAACCGATTGATAATCCAGCAAAATCTCTTCACTGGTGGACTTGTGTAGTATGTAAACAGATACTGTAACAGCCAGATTATGATAATAAAATAAGTTAATCAACCTTACATATACACAACACTATACCACACAACTTTGGGAATCCCATTAAACCAGACACTGGATCCTTGAGATTCAAAGGCTCAATGACTGACGTAGGTTCTTACAAACATGGAGTTATAAATTCAGACATGTGACCAACTCCAATAAACATTTCAAAGCCCTATGATTAAACAGAAGATTCACATGAGCACCTATTTGATTTTTTTTTGTATGCAACTCAGATCATAAAACTCAGTAATGTAGATGGAGTTTCCACTTGACATGAATCCACATTGTATTCCAAGAATGTGATCTGGCACAAGACAGTTGGCAGAGACTCCAGACAGAGCAGCAGGGTGCCTAACTGAAGACCGTGTCTTTGTCATTTTTCTTCGGCAATATTGGGAATGTTCTTTTCTCATGATGTTATCATACTTTCAGAGGGTGGAACGCCCTAAAAGGCCAGGGCAAATACCGATTAAGAGAAGAACAACAGTCTTATTTCACTTGAAGCATGACTGCTTTGACTGGCAGGGAATTTATATAATGCAGTCCTTTGTTGAATCTATGTGGTCTTCTCTTTTTAGCGTAGTGTATACTTAATACCTTGTGAAACAAGTGTTTACAATACAGTATTTAAGAGATTTTCAATTGGGTGTTTACACAGGCTACCATTTATAATGTTTTAATTGTATTCCTTCATCACTGTGCTCTTAATTACAAAATGAATTTAACTTATCACAAAATGTACTTTATAAGCATGCCTGACTTCTTTTCGGTGAGCTTTCATTCATCCATACTGATCCAGGTCACCCTCTTAAACCAGCTCCAGACCGTGTATCTTTAATTTCAGTCAAATACATTTTATGGCTCTTGCAAAACAATTGTGAGCTAACACAAAACAGGAAAGAGAAGTAGATTCAGTGAAAGATAATCAAAACTTAAGTAAGAATCGTGCATTCTTTGACTTGACAGTGGGCTTAATAAACACTCCCTGAAAATCCTCTTATGTGAATCGTCTCATGATGAGTAAAACTCGTGACTATAGAAACTAGCGTAGACATTTTTGGAAAGTAATGTGATCTACAGTAGCAAAAAAACGCAAGAAAGTTTTAAAAAGTAGCGCTTTCATGTAAGGTTCCCGAAACATTTCCGAAACAGCACTACAAAACTAAAACATTAAATTAAAATACATTAAATAAGCCATTTTTTATTAAAGACATCCACATGTCCAACCAAATAGAGTACGCAGAACTAACAGACTGCACTGCAATTCGCAAAGGGTCAATGAACTCGAGCCTGATAGAAACGTGTCACAGGTGAGAAACCAGGCTAACCTCCAAGGAAACCTTAGAGCATTTGCTCTTAACTGAGTCTCGGCCATCATCGTCGCCCCGTTATTACTAATACAACTGCAAATTATTACTAGGAATCACCAAGAAACTCATTGTCTGGTCCTGGGATCAAAAAAGCAAGACGGAGTAGCACACTAACGACGAATCTAAAATTGTAGAATTAGCTAAATTTGAAGAAAGAAATTGGTAGACTCCTAGGACATGTATTTACAGTATGTTGATGTGAGCAAGGTTTCGTTGTTAAAACAGTTTTTGATGTTACCTAGTAAAGAGAGAAGCAAATGCTATGATAAATTATACAGTGCACACTGAATAAATAACTTTGCAGACTATAAACTATCAGAGACTTTTAAAAAAATGTCTTAAGAACTAATTTAGCTTCTTTTAGGTATGCCTGTCTTATAATGGACAATGGGGAGTTACTTGATAGCTTCAGATCCAAAGTGACATTCAAATATATTTAAGATATTCGCTTGTTAAACTGCCAGAATTAATCCGTTCAGTAGGATCTACAGTATAAAGGAGTTACTTGATCTGACGCTTTGGGACAGAACTGATACACCATTATAAAAAGGTTGAAAACTCCTGCCAAATGCAATGGTGTTCAAGACTAAGGCATTGTAGTAATGTGGAAATTTACACAAAAAGTTTGAGGGTATAAACTGTTACACCACAACAAGTTCACAACAACAGATCGCAGCCTTGTCCACTAATCTAAAAGCTTCCAGTTGGCAGTCAATTAATGCCCTAAAACAGGAGTCCTCAGTTTTGGTCCTGTAGGGGTGGTATGTGTACAGATTTCACATGGTACAGTAAGTCTCAGTAGTTCTCACCAGCAACTGAATATCATGGATAAGTTGATAAATTGGTTCAATTATGTCAATAATTAATGTCTGTAACTTTTCACACAGGTCTAAGATTGGACAGACCCCCCCTGCCATGTTCATAAAACAAGGTTTCCCAGTCTTAGTTCTCACCCCAGTGTCTGCAGTTTTCAATCCAGTTTTCTGAACTAAGGTATTAATTTGTTTTAGAGACTGAAAGTACATTTGATTTTTTTTATTATTCAAATAGGGGAATTTTTCAAGTGATGGATTTTGGAGGTAAATTAATACCCAGCAGTTCCAAAACTCGAAACAATTCAAAAAATTGAATTGGTAAATTGGTCAATTTAGTATGCAGTCACATAATAAAGTGCTCAAGTGAACAACAATCATCTTAAAACTCTTAAACTATTGATGAGAAGTGATTTTTCCTCACTTTCCTGTAGGAAAAAAAAACCATTACTGTTAATATTACTCTCCTTTTTAATTTCCAGCACAGATCTGCAGGATCTTGAATTTTAAGTTTTACATTACTTATAAAAAAAACAAGCCTACAAGGTCTACAAATCCTTATTTTGTAACAATTTTCACTTTCAACAAGTCCAAACATTTGTGGGCTTTCAAACCCATTCATGAAACATGAAAGTATCAGGCATTTAGACCAGGTAAACTACATTAAGAGCTTTCAGTCTCATGGAATATCCTACTACAGTACATCAGCAAAAGAGGAAACACATGTTTTTGAAGAATACTAGACATTAGAGCGTGAGAGATAAATCATCTTCACATTTACTGTAACTGAATTAGCATTCAAACATAAAATAGTCCGTGTTAACTGTTTAAGAGTTATACTTTCTTGTAATTAGAAACTATTGGATTGCAGTGTAGCGTGACTTAACCTAGGAAGTCAAATGAAAGTTGTATTGCTTATGAAATGAAGTTACATGTAATAATAAGCTAAGGGTGACTAACAGATGCGAGGCACGTCAATCTCGTGCTGTCTGCACACCAAACAACAATATTGTGCGACAGTGTATCACTTAAGCGTTCATCACTGAGAGTTAACTACGAATCTAATGTGTTTAAGACACTGGCAATTTGCACAGAGCACCAATGATATTATCGGCTTGAAACAACTGGAATAAGCCAAGCATCCTAATCCGTTGTTAACGTGCAAGTCACGTGAAACCATCATGAACACCTTTCATAAGGTCACAGCTGAGAACATTAGGTTTAATAAAATAAACAATAGATACACAGCTATGTACGATTAAAAGCAAATCAACGCCAATAAAGCTAAACGACAGTAACGTATACCCCTAATAATTATAATGTCCTAAGGAATAATTAACAATAAGTGAAGAAAATGGTTTTATTAATAAATTGTGCAAAGAATCTGCCTTTCCAATAACATGAAATCACAGGGTTTTTTTACCTAAATACATTACATTGTTTAAAATGTTTGTATATAAACTGGTTTACCAATGGTCAGGTAACACGAACACCAGAACCATATTAAGACAGAAAAAGGTAATTTAAAATTATCCTTCTTTAATTTTTACTATGCAGCCTGAATATCTGAAATGTAATTCGAACGAAGATGCAGCACTTTAGAATTTAACACGATTGTTGCGCAAAATGCACTAGTGTCTCCTTTCAAGTTACTTCCACCGTACAGTTAGACTAGTCAGAAAAATACATTATTTGTTGCACAGGTTGTGGTAAGCGTGAGAATTACTGCTGTAAAGCGGTAATTGATGTTGCATGTACAGTACTACCACTATTTTATCAAGCATTGCTAGACCTATCTGAAATTCTTGCTTTCGAAAGCTGATGCCTAGCGGCTGTAGGCTTCTCCGGTCCTAAGCTTGCCACCTTGGGGAATCAGAAAAAAACTGCGCAGACTCACCTGTCTCATCTGCGAGAAAGGTGATGCATATCTGATTCCATCTGCTTGTCCACTGCAATATCTTTGAAGAATCGCTGTTGGAGAAATAAAACACTCGCTAATTATTGTAGCTCGAAAAATGCGGATCCCACCAATCGGCACCCTTCTTTATTCATTCATTTTTGCTTTTTGAATCTTGAGAAGCATGGGAGGGGGACTTTGCGTAAGGTTTTGGTTGCCTAGAGACAGTTTAGCAATCCCGGACAGGTCCCTTTTCACTCCTGTGACTTGCTGCAATCTGCTGTTGCTCCCTGGATGCATTCGCCAATCGTAAATCAACGGTGCAGCATCATACAGCATCTACTGTGTCCTAAAGCCGTCCATGTTTATCAACGAATGGAAATTCTGATGGGTAGTTAACCACAATTTAGCTTTCCCCAGATATTTACACGAAATATTAAAATTATATTTAAATTTAGAAGGGCTACTTCGAGATAAGTGGTTCTCTTTCAAACTAACTAGTGTGGTATTATTAAAGACTGAGTAATTCACTACTCTCACACTCCTACCGCACCTCTTTTTTGTAATTGCTGCCTGTTGCAAGGTAGTAAATGGCCACAGCTGATATAGCGGTGGGAAGCCGTGATCCTGGTGGCTACAGTTCCTTAGGCTTTACAGATCTCACCACAAGCTTACACTCTGGTAAACACTTACCTTAATAAACTGAGTAAAATGAATTGTTCAACTATGAGCTAAGAGATAAAGACCAAGCAACTGATATTGTATGACTTCCAAAGTCCTCCTATAAAACATAATACAGCTCTTTCTTGCCAGTTGAACTTGGTTTTAATTTAACCCAGCAAGAAACTTATGAGTATAAGAATATAAACCAAGGAATATTCAGAAATCACAGTTATAAAACAAAATAAAGAGACTGTTATTCTCAGGGAAACATCTTTTTTATCCTTAGTCTCTTTTTCCATCATTGCATATTATGTAATTTTATAAAGCAGATAATTAAAGGAAGACAGGTTACATCACTGACCAGGAATGCTAAGTCTAAAACATCGGAAAGTTTCTGTCTTTACTCTGAAATCATTCAACTGTATTATTTAGCAAAGCTGAGTCAAGTCTATTGCATATGCTGATACTTAAGGGTTACTTAAGTGTGTTTAAATGAAGCCCTGTAGTGATGAACGCAGACATGCTGTATTTGAGGTGCCTGGCCTGACATTTATAGAACATTTTTTTTATCTGATCATTACAAGCTTTCAAAATTGAATTATGAATGAATTTATATTATTTATACACTTTAATTACAGTACATATCTTAAAGGTGGTGGGCAGCACAGTGGGACAGTGGTTACTATTGCTGTCTCACAGTGCTGGGACTGTAGGTCCAGTACTGGACCCAGGTTGCTGTCTCTGTTGGTGTTTGTTTGTTTGCATGGGTTTCCTCCCACTGTCCAAAAAAAAAAACCCATACAGGTGGGTTAATTGGCTTCTGGGAAAATTGGTCCTCGGTGTCAGTATGCCCTGCGGTGGACTGGCATCCCATTTCAGGGTGTCCCCTGCCTTGCGCCTGTTGATTGCCAGGATAGCTCCAGCTCTTCCACGACCCTGACCCTGAACTGGAAGAAGCAGTTAGAAATATGTATAGATGGGTATCAAATCTGCTACACCAGAATAGAATGCAGCATCTGTTTTCTTTTGCTTGAAACCTTTGATCTTAGAGGTTTGGTATATTTAGTGAAGAACTGTTGGACTGTTGTGGCACTAGTCCTACGTGATATGACACTGTACGATTTCTATCCACAGGGTGCATGAAAAATTTAGCATGCAAATGTATACTACAGAGATTTAATATAGCAGCATTGAACACGATTCTTATTGGTGTTCATTCTTCATACTACGAGTTTTATTGCATAATTTAATTGACCACTTGTGGATTGTAATTGTGTGTTCAAACATGGTACGAAACAGGGAATGAATTTCAGAACTTATTAAATTATTACAATATTGTAGACATTGTCTAGTGATTGAAAACCACCCTGTATTTTAGGTACACTACAAAAACTCATTCCACAAGGGTAATGATTCCACCATAACACCTTGTCTTTTTCTTAAGAAAGCAAACAGGCCCAGACTATCATTGTTCTTCAAATGTGCTCTACAGTGTACTAAGAGCTATGGTTCACTGAAGAGTAGATCTAGTTAAAATGGACATTAGAGATAATATGTGAACAGCTTCTGTTCCCAGAATAGCTGCATTATTTGATATATCCAACATTTCCATGAAAATCAGGTACAGATGGGATCATAAAACAGCAACACGAAGAACTGCATCTCAATCTGGAAATCTGTAATGCATAAAATGAAATTTAAATTGTACTTGTTGACATCACCCATAATCATATAAGCACACCTTCTACAATAAAAAAAAACATCTAATTTAAACGTTATTGAAAATACTTGTATTAATTGTTTTGTTCTGTAATGCACTACCGCTCTAATTCAAAGGAAACAATCTGGATTATCTTTTAGTTTTATACAAGGAATTACTGTACAAACTTCCAATACTACAGTAATCAGTGAAAGGTGTTACAGTAAGAACCAGAAGAAGTTCTGGGTAGCTCAGCATTATAATTTGTAGTATCAAAATATAGGTAAGGTAATGACCCTGTCTTGTTTTAATACATACTGTAGCACACTCTGTGCATTCTGTCTCATCCATCTATCCATTATCAGAAGGCCACTTATTCCTGATAATGTTTGAAGAAATCTGGAGTCTATCCAGGAAGAATGGAGCACAAGGCGAGATTATACTAAGTACTAAGGATAGCTTGCCAGTCTATCACAGGATGCTTACACACAGTTACAATTTAAAGACAGCTGACCCAGAATATCTCTAGCAAGAGGGAGGAAAACCTGTGCGGACAAAGAGAGAAGATATAAACTCCACAGAGAAGGCACGATAGGCCAGAAAATAGGACAAAGAGCTGTGATGCAGCAGTGCTAACTGGCTTTGTGCAAGGCTCCATCATACATGAAAGGAGTGTGAAATGCCTCTAAAATACAAGAGTCTGGGGCTTCAAGGGTCTGACATATCAACACGTTGTTCAAGGAAGGTCAAAGTTGGTCAGTGGATATATTTACTTCAATTGATGTCCACTTCCTTCCATCTAGCCTTAAATATGCCATGAATTCTCCAACTACAGAAAAACTAATCATATGATCTACTTCTTAAACTGTTCTTAAAATTGAGTCAGAGTTTTGATTTTCAACCTAAAGCCTGAAATTGTTAAGCTCCAGCATTTTTAATCATGTATTTGATTACATTCCAAAACACACTTCATGGTGACAAGAGCAAGCTTGTCACGGGTTCAGGTTCTTAGTGCAAAGCTGCGCTCAAAGAGTGAGTCTGCTGTTGCCTCTTCCCCTGCTTGAATTCAGAGATTAAGGCTTCTTTTTAAAAACCCCGTTCTACGTAAACCCAGCCCTTTTAATCAAGCTATATGTTTTGGTTATGTTCATACAACTCAGTCAGGCGACCTGTCACGACCTCTCAAGCTGCTTTATAAACCAAATATTGCAACTGGTTAAAACCTCAAGTTTGGATGGTGTAGTTAACATAAAAAAACCCTAGGGATTTTGTGATCATTATGATGAACTTTATGAACTTTTGATTCTCTAAAGTTTACTCTTAAAGAAGAGTCTCCTGGAAAATAGTAATCCAGTAGTGTATTTGAACAGTGGAAGAAATCTTAATTTTAGCTATTTTGTAAACTATGATGGATCATCTGTGTATAATTGCATTGGGTTTAAAATGAAGAGGTCAGTTCAATGAGAATACTTGATTGCTATGGTAAAAAATGCAGCATAGGTGAGATCTGAAGGTGGTAAAAGCCTAAGAGACTAATAATGACTAAAAGGAAATAAAAATGTGTTTTGGAGGTACTTCAAAGTAAGATCAAGCTTTTCAATTCCAAGGGTAGGGGTGTGATGAAAGTACCACAACATCGATGACATCATACATCTATTTAAAAACCATTTATTACTCTACAGTAGTGTTATGTTCATAAATTACATTTTACTTTGGCACAGAAGACATTGAAATAGGTTTCTTAGTACTACACTTTGTACTATCTGGTACTTTGTTGATTTTGTTTTGTAAAGATACAATGTAAAAATAAAATAAAATAAAATTAACATATACAGTATGATAAACACAGAAAACATAATGTTCAAAATATAGTAAAACAGATATATGAATATTATAATGATCAATATCCAACATTGTTTTTAACATTGACCACTTTGTTGTGATCTAGTTGTTGTCAGTATATAAAATGACTTGACTTTTACTCCATCAAATCTATTACTGTAGTGACATGCGCTGGGATTTACAGAAGATCTTTCTGAGGGTGGTTCAGATCATACACTGAAGAAAGGGAGTGACTGACCTCTGGTGGAAAAAATCAAAATTGGTTCAATTCAATCCCAGATTCACAAAGTGATATTCTGTATGCAGGGCGTTATATTAAAAGAATTATTACTATTTATTGTCACAGTGTAATTGTGCATATTTTCTATCCATGGTGCAAATGTCATACTTCTGCATGGGTGTCTGCATTAGGTCCTGCATTATAAGACTGCATTGCATTTGTGGTTGTTCAGAAATGTGAGTTTGTAAAAGTACTGGCAATAATTATGCAAGCAAAGGAAAGAGTGGGTATCAACATTTTTTTGTGAAATGTTACCTAATATGGTGTTATATTGATATATTGTTATATTGCTACAATGTCCCTGGTTGTAAGGCAACCACTAGTGCTATACCACCCCGAAGCCTGGATTAGTCTAGGCACTGATACCACTATAGATTTCTAAATATGTGGTGAACACAATGGCATATGGGAAGAAAATTTCACAGAACAAGAGCACAGAAAAATAACAGTTTAAGCGTATTAAGACTACTCTTATTGAGAAATTGCAGTAAAATTTCATTGATTTAATTTAATGTTAAAAGACTCTAATGGAGGTTCGTATTTCAAACCCGTCCCAGAAACTGACACACTTGACAACTGAAGAGGTCAAGGAAGAAAGAAACATTCAAAAACTAATGTAACATTCCACATATTCTTTTCTTTGAGATAGTAGAGATTCAGAAGAAATCTTGAAAATTACTTTGCTTCAAATACAGGAGTTAATGTTTCTTTAAGAACAGTAAGATACATGTTAGTACAAAGCCTCAAGTCAAAACTAAAGTCTCAATGCTTGTGTAGCTACTTGGAAACATTTGCTTCATCCTTATCATTTTCTCTTTCCTCAGAATAATAGACTAGTTTAGATAAACTATGAAATCAGCTTTGCAAGAGACAAGTAACATCCTGGAACCCAAAGGGTCACCACAGTGGCAAAACTATAAGAAAACAATATTGATGTCTTTCCATGGCCAGCTTTTAGCCATTTAAAACTGACTAATAGTTGCCTACTAATTAAAACTAAATAATACTAATTAGTCCAAACAATTACTACAGTAAAATCTCTGCAACCTCAAGGCCTGGAGCTAGTGCAACTACATTCATAGAAGGTGTTGGTTTTCTCCTTTATACAGTATCTAAAAAAATCTAAAGTCTAGGTTGTATACAAAAGCTGACCAGAAGTTTGTTATTGGATATGTTCCAGGAAAATTAACTATGATACTTTAAGAACTGGTTTAGAGATGGTTCTTTTAAAAAATAGAACACAGACATACAGTATATAGAGTATACAACATTTACAAAGTTACACATTTTGTGATCTAACAGTTTTAAATGAAGACACATTTAAGTAGAATTTATTTATTTGAGAATGGGGTAGATACAGTAAGTGTACACACCCCGTAATAAAACAATTGTAAATTAGCTGTGGTGTAACCAATCACCTTCCAAATCCCACAAAAAGCTAATTATCCCACACCTGTGTTTAACTGTAGTGAGTCTGATTATTTCAGAATAAAATCAGCTGTTTGTGTATGTCTTTGCTTTTGTTAGTATATCGAGTATAGAGACAGAGGTGGAAAGGAGCAAGTGTTTGGAGTTTGGAGTTTGGAGTTTGGAGTTTGGAGTTTGGAGTTTGGAGTTTGGAGTTTGGAGTTTGGAGTTTGGAGTTTGGAGTTTGGAGTTT